ATCAGCTTGACGAGTCAAAGGCACACAGAATGATGAAGACAGCTGGAGATGAGCGACTGGACAAACAGATGGTATGCAAAGAACCATGCAAAGATGTAAATGCAATGCAAGACAGGATGCAAAACACACATAATAGGATCAAAGGTTCAAGATTACAGTATGGAGTATGGGTAAAGAACGAACCATAGGGTGTGTACTAGGGGTAAAGCACCTGCACAACGGGTTCTATCAAAGTTCCCTGAGTCATAGTAAATCCTTCGGATATTGCCAACTAACGCAATTACTTACGTGAGTCAACAATATTCTCAAGATAAACTCGTCTGAGTGTAGCATCGCGTGAAACCTATTGAGAGACTACTCCCTAACAATTTCCGCGCTACATCCTAAAAGGCCAAGTGGGGTAAAAGTGTTACTAAAGGTCCTCAGCTTCACAGACTCATGTTGAAACAATTAGTGAATACACGACTACTCATGCATTACTAACCATTTCAAAGAGTCTCCACTGAGCGTGATTACATCATATGTCAGACATATTGGGACAACTCCCAATAGCCCAATTATTGATCATATCACAATCCTATCTCATGTGTCACTTAAATCCGGGTTAGGATTTGTCTCACCACTCAAGGCACCCAAAACAAACAGATGTATTAACAATATACACAAATATACAAGCAAGCAAACATATAGCAAACACAAATATAAACAAGATGGGCTTAACCCTCTTAGGGGAGTCCCTAATGAGGTCGCCATTTCTGTTGCGGTGAGAATCATGATACCAAGCTATTGATTAACTTGAATCTTAATTCCTACAATTCACAATCAGACTTTAATTTATCCAAAAAAGAAAGGTTTAAAGAAAGAAAAACCTATAAAAATGCAAAGCAAAAAGCAAGGCTTAAAGCTAAGCAAAGAGAGATCTAAAGGTTCGGGGATTGTTATGCCTAGGGTAGGTATTTCACATCCTAAACATCTGTAGTTCTCTACAGGAACCTCTTGTTAATATTTGTGTTTGCTAAAGTTTGCTTGCTAAAGGAAATGTGCTAAGGGTAAAGATATAAAGTATATACAAAGTTTGGTAAAGTATGCTCGTGAAGACATCGCATCTCGTGCCTACGTATCCTAACAGGAACGGAATCAGAGCAACCGTAGTTCCCCTAACTAGGGGTGAGAAACTCTTGATTGTGGTCAAGGTTCCAAGGGGATGTAAGCATTCATAGGGAAGTACTTACATGGAGTGCGGCGACTCCTAAATCTATGTTGAGATTGTTATGGTAAAGAATGTCCACGGCGGGACGCTAAACATGAGTACGGCGACTTAGATCCTAAGGTTAGGATAAAGGGTAAAGGATGTCCACGGCGGGACGCTAAATAGAGCACGGAGACTCCAATCCTAAGGTCAGAAAAATGGGTAAAGGATGTCCACGGCGGGACGCTAAAATTGAGCACGGCGACTCCAATCCTAAGGTCAAGAAAACGGGTAAAGGATGTCCACGGTGGGACGCTAAAAGTGAGTATGGCGACTCAAATCCTAAGGTTAGGATAAAAGGGATAAAGGATGTCCACGGCGGGACACTAAAAGTGAGTACATCGACTCAAATCCTAAGGTTAGGATAAAAGGGATAAAAGATGTCCACGACGGGACGCTAAAAGTGAGCACGACGACTCAAATACTAAGGTTAGGATAAAGGGGAAGGATGTCCACGGCGGGACGCTAAAAGTGAGCACGATGACTCAAATCATAAGGTTAGGATAAAAGGGTAAATGTAACCAACAAGTTATTACATATAAACCAATAATGTCACAACGATGTAAACAAAACGGTTCAAAATCTCGTGGGGATAGTCAACAGTTTTTTAAAGGTGAACCACTTAAATGCATACAAACAAAGGTGAATTTAAATGCCCAAGGAAGCTAACAATCCATATTCATAATCTCAAATTAAAAACTCAAAGAGAATGAAATCCAAATGTTTGAAATAAAGAAGGAAAGATAGGAGGGTGAAAACTCTAAAATGGGTTATAACTTGCTCATAATGCAAAGTGTTTCTAAAATAGGATTTTTAGAATTCTTTAAACATTATATGGAAATATGTTACAACACAAGAATTTTTCAAAAAGAACCACTTAAAAATGATTTAAAATGGAGAAGTTATGTGGTTTTTAAGTTTGTGAACAAAACATAAAAATCTAAATGATAAAAAGAATAAAATGCACATGGTAAGACAATGAATCAAACAAATTTGATTATTTAAACATGTGAACAAACATGTATAAATAATACAAGATCAATATCACAAGAAAAATCAAGTTAAAAGTTGAAAAAGTTTAAGAACATCATGGTAAAAACCCTAAAAACAGTCATGGTAGCATGTGAAATGCAAATGGAAAATTCACATTTATGAGTTTTAAGTTTACCTCTTGAAGAAAGAGTAAGCAATAAGAAAACCAGAGATCTTGAAAGCTCTTCCAAGATCTGCAAATGTTCCTAGGATGATGAATAGATGCTCCAAACAACCTCCAAGCAAGCTAGTGGACGAAATGCCTCGTAAATGAAGGAAAATCTCCAAAATCCAAAGATTTCAAAGACCAACTCACTAGAACCTTGTTACATAAATATGGATGTGATTTGGATAGATTCAATACATCATATTTGATGTGTTTGAAGTGTTTCTTGAGTTGGAAGAAGTTTGGAAATGGTTTTGAAAGGTGTTTTGCAAAAGTAGATTTTGAGGGATTTTGGAAACTTTAATGAGATTTTGCAAGAACTTGTGATTATGTAATAAGTGGAGTTCTAGCTGGTTTCTAGCATGAAACTTGTGTGTTTGTGATGTAGGAAGTGAGTTCTATTTATAGCCAAAAGCCTTGGATCAAGGTATGGGTAAAAGTGAAGCAAATTGCCAATTTTAACCTTCCATCATGAAATTTTTTTAGTTTTCCAATGCAATCTTCATCTTTGTCTTTAAGCCACTCTACTAAGATATTCTTTATGCCCCAAAGATTTTTTTCCATCATGATTGATAGGATAGGAGGTGACTTGTTGAATTAAAGTTGATGATTTGACAAGGGTAACCACCTTTTTTCTCTTTCTTCACTATTCACTTTTGCAACTTGCATTAAATAATAATTTTCTTTGATCTTTGTGCCATTTTGGTGAGAATTTATGTACAAATGTTCATTATCAATATAAACTTCTTGAGTGGGTCTTCCCTAATCCATATGAGCTTCATGGACCATAACTCCATCATTGGAACACCTTTTAAATCAAAAGTCAAACTACAATTGACTTTTCCTAATCAGAAACCCTAATCGGGTGTCCTGGATTGCACTGTTCTTGATCTTTGGGTGACAAACTCAAATTGGACTCATACTTGACCCAATGTAGTATCTTTGATGATGTGGAGACTTGTTTCATGGAGAATAAATCTAATACATTGACTGATTAAACCATCGAAACCTCAATTCCTAACTGTACGAAACCCTAATTCACCTGTATCTTAACAAAGACAAACTTGAAATAGATTATGGTTAGATAAACAAATGAATATGATCCTAAAATGATGATGAAGATCTAAGGGATCAAAATTTGGGATGCAACAGATAGATACACCAAAAGATCTTTATCCATTATATAACTCTTTGAACGATAGCGTTCTAAGATTTGAGATTTGGATCTAATTTAAGATTTGAGAGCTTTGATAATAAAATGTTATATTTTTTTATGAATAAGTGAAACGTTCAAATTACTATATGATTTTTTTTTACAAAATTTTATAAATAAAAATATATCCCATTATTAAAAAATGAGACGAAGACTAAAACGATTTTATTTAAACTAATTAATTATGTAAATTAGATAAAGTAAAGAATAAAAGTGTAAGTCTAATAAAAAATAATAAACAAATTTTAGAAATAAAGAATCCTCCTCATGTGTTCAATTTCAATCATCTACTATATATCTAATTCTTTTTAAGGTTGACATAATATTTATTTTTCATCTTTCATCAATTAAATCATAATTAAATATTATAACTATCATTCTCTCTTCATTGAAATTTTTAATTTCTCTCATTTTTTTTCTCATACTTTCTCACTTTCATTTTATTTTTGTCTCTATTTATTTATTATAAAAAATACTAATAATATAGTTACATGTATATGATTATCGTTCATTTTACAATTAAATATATCATTTTAAATTTTGCATGTGTATTTAAATACACTTTATATCTTATCAAATAAATTTTTATTCCACGGATAATTATCAACACAATGTCTATTTTATTTTAATCAACAATTTATCTTGATTTGAAAGACAAAATTTTCATTTTAAAACATCAAAATTTCCTTCTTTTTTTTTTTGAGTCATTTTCTTGACTATTTAATACAATTTATTTTATATAATTATTTTTCATTTTACAATTAAGTAGTTATTTCAAATTTACATTTATATATAAATAAATTTTATATTATATCAAATAAATTTTCTATTTCCAGAACAACATTAATACGATATATATTTTATTTTAATTAATAATTATTTTAATTTAAAAAATAAATTTTTTACTTTTAAATATAATTTTTTTTTCTTTTGTCTCATGATTTTTTTTATTTAAAAAAATTGAGTTTATATAATCAATATTTATTTTAAATTTAAATTGGCTAGTCGGCTTGGCTAAGGATTGTTTGGATCCACCATTGAAAGAAATACATATTTTCTGCCCTATAATTTCTGCCCTATAATTTCTGCCCTTCTTATACATATTTTCTGTTGGCTCTCTCTTGTACCTCTCCTCCATTGCTCTAAATTTGGATCACTTGCCACCTGTTCTGTATAGTTATTTGCATCCGAGTTTGTCACTTTGTCTTTTGTGTCCACCATTGAAAGAAATACCTATATGTAAGCTATCATTCGTTTGCATCGTCTTCCGATATTTCTGAATTATTACTGATTCCGATTGTGCGATTCCACTCTTACTCGAATGCAATTTCCTCTTCAAGATGTCGGAGAAGAGCGTTGATCTTCCCGAGGAACTGATAACTGAAATTCTGTTGAGATTGACGGTGAATACTCTATTACGATGCAAATCCGTCTGTAAGTCATGGTTTTCTATTATCTCTAATCCCCATTTTGCAACTTCACACTTTCAAATTGCCGCCTCATCCACAAATAAACTTGTCTGTTTAGGAAATAATTCCGAAACCCTAACCGTTGATTTTAATGCATCGCTTAACAATGAGTCATCATATGCTTTTTTGCACCTGAGAACATGTCTTAATATTGGAGGTTCCTGCCGAGGGTTTCTATTCTTGCATATGTACAGAGACTTCTACTTATTGAATCCAGCCACACGTGTCCATATACAAATACCCGCCTCTCCTATAACTATTGTCTCTGATTTCAATCTTGAGACTTTTCTCTATGGTTTTGCCTACGACCACTCAACTGATGATTACTTGATAGTTTTGGGTTCCTACGAATATCGTGCTTTTAATCATCGTGTACCTTGTGCCATTTACTTTGAGATTTTCTCATTGAGAACTAATAGGTGGAAACATATTAAGTCTGATTCTCAATTGATTATTGACCAGGAATGTGGTTTTTATGTCGGGTTACTCTTGAATGGTTCCATTCATTGGTTGGTTCGTAGGTACGAGGGCTATTTTGTTGACGTTATTATTGCCTTTGATTTAAAGGAAAGCAAAATGTCACTGATAGCCCTGCCATATGGTTTTGATTATGATATTGATGATAGCAACCACGATTTGCTTGTACTTGGCGGACTTATGGGTGCATCGATTGTGGAGATGCCTACGATTACGATATGGGTGATGAAAAAATATGCTGTGCAGTCATCTTGGACTATGATTATTGTATTTTCTGTTGATCCTGCTTTGCACTGTTCTTTATCAATAGTATGCTTTACAAATAGTGGTGATATAATTGGAAGAGATCAGGAAGGTAGATTGATGAAGTTTAATGACAAAGGACAGCTGTTGGAGCATTACTGCAATTCTAAGGGCATTTACTCACAAAGATCCCAAATGGCACTGTATACAGAGTCTCTGCTTTCACTCCCTTGTGGCATTGAGCAGGTCTAAGAAGCAACCATTGCCTTGATGCCGGTAAACTCATCCTCTCTGCCTCAAAAGCAGTTAAGTGGAATTTATTCTAATGAATGTTGATTTTACATTTATCTGAATCTTTAGGGATCTTAAATGGTTAGTATTTATTTGATTAAAACAAATGCATTGTTCTATTATCGTATTTGGCAGTTTTTGGGCTTACTTTTATCTTCCAAAATTGAGCATGATGCGCTTGAGACCACATCAGATTTTGAGTTTAACTCAATAAATCCAGTTTTTGGGTTTACTTTTATCAATCCTTTTTAATGTTCCATTTTTATTTTGATTTCACAGTCAATCAAATTTTTGGTGCTTGGATGCCTTTTAGTGTGTTTATGTAGGTCTTATACTTGAAATACTTTATGAATAACTTTGATCTGTAATACATAGTTGAAATGATAGCTGCATCTTAATACTCTGCTGCTTGATTTATGGTATATCATCTGTTATGTTATTTTTGGTTTTGACTATTTATTTATAAAAAAAAATACATAAGAGACGAACTTTCAGATTTACTTTATGGTGCAAATCTCATTGCCAAATTGTTTTTCTAAACTAACTGATATGCTTATGAATGAGGGCTTTATGTGAATTTTTTTAGAGTTTAGATTAGATTATGGAAACAAAACCTTTTGTTAAAGTGTTTATTTAGAGTAGTACTGCTAACTCACTTTAGAATACCTTTATTGTTAATGCTACTAATTTAGGTATAATTGTATATGGCCTATTGTCGTACCTCGAAAAATGAGAAGACCTCGCGGAGCGCTATCGCACGCTCGCGAGATGGACTTAACAGAGTTGTCACCGATCTTTATTCTCATAAAGGAAAAGAGAAAATATTGAATAAAACTTTTAAAAGAAAGACAATGATATGGTCATTCCAACCAATATCTCAATTTGGGAGTAGGTTATGCAAGAGAAAGATATTAGCATTCTCAAGTCCGTTGTATTTAACGAAAACCATTTAGTTAGAGTTGTAAGAATGTTAGCTTATGTTGGTTTCTAATCTTCTACTTATTTGGGATGGAAAAGGGAGAAAAGAGAAATGTTTTTGGATATTTATTAAAAAGAAAGGGGACGTAAGAGTTTTTATTACTAGGGGACCTGACAAGATTTTGCAATTCTGCTCCTACGTATCTCAAAAGATAAATCAAGGCACACATAGTTCTGGGTAAAAAAAAATTGTTTGTTGGTCGATTTTAGCGAAAGCTATCTTGTATTAATCGACGAAAAATATTGTTTTACCCAAAACAGGTGAGGAGCGGACGTTTACATCACATTGAATGGATTTACAAATCACATTCATGCCACTTATCTCAACTCAACGATTGTGGATGAAACATTGCTCTTGCATCATTTTAAGACAAGATGTTTTTCGTTTATGAAAACATTTTTTAGGATTGCACAACGACAAGGAAAATAGTTTGATTGGTTGGATGTGTTTTAGGTGAATGACAAACATTTGATGATAATTAATTATTCATAGAGTTATGCCAGAATGCTAGATCCAAACAGCCATTTTCCATTCAAAATATTATGAAAATTGTTTGATGGACAACGAACGTTTAATAATAATCAATTGTTCAAAAAGTTACGCCAGAATACTAGATCCTAACGGCCCTTAATTGTCTTAGTTAATTATTAAGTGTTTTAAGAACGAAAGAAAAGAATGAACGACTACCCCAAGGCGCGAGGCTCGGGACTGATCATTCGAGGGTTCTGCTAGAATGTTAGATTCCAGCCGTCTTTTTCTTTCGTATTTATTAGAAAAATATGGTTAGCATTACATCTGATTTAGGAAATAGTTAGATTGTGTAAAATTATGATTTGATTAATGTTTGAACTTAATCCCGAATTCGAAAATGGATTTTGAAGTTAGTTCGAAGTTATTTAATCGATGATGAAAAGTACTGAAATTGGTTTTAATTATTTACATGCGCGATTCTGTGGACATGGAAAGGGATAACCTAATTAAATGATTAAAAAATAATCTAACAAAATCAATTAGTGATTAAAAATAAAGCAAATAATTAAATAAGATCTAATTAACTTGATCAAATAAATCTCAAAGTAAACAAATAATTAATAATCAACTTAAATCATTTAAATTTTAAACAACTAATTAATTTACTAATTTAATCAATCAATTAAAAATATACCAATCAAAACTAATTAAATGCAATGCAAACAAAGACCACACGAGAAGAGTGCATTCATTTACACCAAAAGTAAACAAAAATTGACATGCAAAAACACAAATAATAAAACACTCTTACTAATTAAAATGGATGGTAATAATATACATAAAAACCAAATAAAGCAATGCGAGAGGAAGTCTTAAAACACACACACTTTAGGATAAATTAAAAAAAAATCAAGCTTCATCAAAAAAAGGAAAATGCTCTATCATGAACCTAGCACATTCTTCATTGTCTTCCACAAATGTAGCCACAAACATGTGTACTAAATCGAGTGCTACATGAAGTGGTCTCCTTAAAAGAAAAAATCTTCCAACATGCCTCATCATATTTAACTCAAAAAATGTTTTCATTAACTCAGCCTATACTTCCGTAAAGGTTTGAAATACTAATATTAAATAAAGATAATCACACCATTCATATCCCATTACTTTAGGCAAATATGTGTTATTAGTAGTAAGAGGAAAAGACTTCATCATTGTTGTTAGTATTTGAGAGATTAATGATAGTTTAAAATGTAATTCGATAGTATAAAAATTTTGGTAGATAGTTGAAAGATAGTAGCAAGTAGTGTGTAAGATAGTATTAGAGCATTTAGTAACACTAAACAAGAGACAACATATAAATAATCAACTTATTGTAGAAGGAGAATATTAGTATGATGAAGCCTCCAATGTTATTGACATTGGATCTTAAAGGCTTGAATACAATTACACATATATTTGTCTATTTATAAGTGTTTGATGATGTTTCTAGAATAGAACTATCTAGGTTTTTGTTTATCTTTTCTATATTACATTGACATAGAACTTTCTAAACTATAAGTTAATCTAAGAATTATTGGAACAATTTAGAAACATGTAGAAACTTTAAACTATTTTAGTTTTCACTAAACTTTGTCATTTATTTTTACTAGAATGTTCTAGAAATATGCATCAATTTCAACACTCCTCCTTAATGCATATTTCAGTAACTCCAAGTGTAGTTCATAGTTGTTCAAATGTGAATTTGTGAAACTATCTTCTCTTGCATTGATACTTTTATGTAATGTATTTTATTTTGGAAAACATTATCTCCACCATGATTCAATTTTGTCACTACTTGTCACAATGATTGTTCTTAAACTCTTTCTTATCATTGTTGAAGGCTTTTAACGATAATCATTCTTGCTCCTTAGTTACGCTTGTGATCTTCCTTGTTTTTCTTGTTAAAGACTTCTAACAAGGATCACTTTTGTTGTCTAGTTGCATGTGAATCTCCTTGTCGATCTTATTGAATATTTTTGACAAGGATCACTCTTGCTTTTTAGTTGCTTATAGGTCTCCTTGTCATTCTTGTAGAAGAATTTTGACAGGGACTCATTCTCGCTCTAGTAGTTGCATTTGTCTTCCTAGACTTTTACTTGAGCCTCGGTAATAGGTATCAATTTTTTTATCGCATGCACTTGTGCTATATCAGAACTCGAGCCTTATTTGCCATAGTTTATGATATTAGTTGGACTTAATTAAGAGGGTCGTACTTGAACTCCTCTCTCTCATTTTTAATTTTGGGTTTGAACTCAAACAGAGTTGGACCGTGTGGCTACCTGTACTCCTTTGTGTTTGAGTCAGAGATCTCATTTTCTAGTTTTAATAAAATAGTTGGTGACAAGAAGAAATAGTTTACTACACCCAGTAAATGACCGAACGCAGCTCTGATACCACTGTTAGTATTTGAGGGAATAATGATAGTTTATAATGTAGTTGGCTAGTGTAAAAAGATCTGGTAGATAGTTGAAAGATAGTAGCAAGTAGTGTGTGAGATAGTATTAGAGCATTTAGTAACACGGAACAAGAGGCAACACATAAGTAATCAACTTATTGTAGGAGGAGAATAATAGTACGATGAAGCCTCCAATGTTATTGACATTGAACCTTAAAGGCTTGAATACAGTTATACATATGCTTGTCTATTTATTGGTGCTTGAGGATGTTTCTAAAATAGAACTATCTAGGTTTTTGTTTGACTTTTCTATATTACATTGACATAGAACTTTCTAGGCTATAAGTTAATCTAAAAGTTATTGGAACAATCTAGAAATATGTAGAAATTTTAGACTATTTTAGTTTTTTCTAAACTTTGTCATTTATTTTTACAAAAGTGTTTTAAAAATATGTGTTCGTGAAATAGGATTCAAACATACAGGATAAGAATGCCATGAAGATTCAACAAGAAACTAGTTTTTTAGACGAAAAAAAGTAAAATAAAACAAACCTAGAACAAAATTGCAAAACAAACACATCCCTCATCAAGAAAACACAAAAATATTATCATAAATATCAAAACAACCAAACATTAAAAACAAGTAAATCCATTTTTTTTTTTGGTTTTCTAATTTTTTCATCTTAGTCACAATATCCAACAACATTCATGAGCATAATATTAGACCAAAAAACATACTGCAAATATTAATGATAAGTGAATTAGGATCAAAATTGAAATATGACACCTATTAATATTTAAGTCTAGTTTTAATATATTGGTATATGGATAAAGCTAATCTAAGGTTTGCTACAAAATTACTTTTGAGTTCCTATATAACTTAGGTAACAACTTTAATTAGTGTATCCTAAAATTCAATAAAATTATTACTAATAAAAACAAATAATATGCACATGATATTTTTATGTCTCATATATGTTATTAGTAGGTTAATTAATTCAATTCTCTTTTCAGATATATTCTCACTATTTTTTATCATGAAACAACAGATGGAGTGCGTGAAAGAAAAAAAAGAAT